CTTAGTCATTTTTGGAAACATTGGCCTAAGTGACTAAACCAAATCTCCTGGTGCCAGTCCAGTGCCTTGGCTACAAGACCATCCTTCCTGGCCCTTACCAGCTTAGCCTAGGGGGTTATCAACTCATTTCTTTTATGGAGCCCCCTCCCACAGTGGCCTTCCTGGCGCTCACTAGCTGGTCTCCCCTGCTTTCTGATGTGTGTGTAGCTGTTCCTTGAAGACGCCTGAGTGGCTCCATTACCCCCCTTCTGCCAGCAGGGCAGCAATTTGCTTTTGCTTCTGTTCCCATTTGGTCCGTTGTGGGAGGTCCCAAAACAGGAATGTCATTAAGGTCGGTACCTGACCCCTCCCCTTAAAGCCCCAGTCACAAAGATTCCAGAAAGAACAGCTCTGGCAATGGAGAATTGGACCCAGAACCTGAGCTGAGGGTGTGGCCCATTTCCTGGGAGCCTCTTTGTCCCATCCAGGCTGTTACCTGCTCCTTCCCCTGCCTTGTGGGCGTTTCGGGGTGGGGAGAGAGGAGGGTACATTATCAGGGCCCTTCTAGCTCCCTGAACCTCACCATCCCTGACCCTGTGCGAAGAGGCTGCTCCCAACTCACCGTACACGTGCAGTTGGATATCTTCATTTGTCTTCTTGCTTAGGTTATCTTCCACTTGTATCTGGAAGATGCCGCTGTCTTGCTTCTGCAGTTGGTTAATTTCCAGGGTGTGATTCTCGTAGTAATGCAGTTTATTCTGAAAAGAGCCACTGGGATAAGACACTAACTGATTCCATTTTTTAGTCAGGATCTTTAGGGAGTTGTTGAACCTCCAGATGATCTGCTTGTATTCCTCTGGGACTGACAGTTTGGGGTTTAGATACACCGTGCCACCGACAGTCCCATTCACCTGATTGCTCGGCACCTCTGTGGCCTCATAAGCTGTCAACAGACAAAAATCAGGGTTGCAATGGGAAGCAAAGGAACAAACATTACTCTTAGTTGTTGGGTGAACTGGGACAAGCTAGTGCAAATGCCCCTCACTGTGCCTCAGTTTCCCCCTGTAAAATGGGGATAATGCTGTTCACTCTCTTTTGTGAAGGACTTTGAGCTCTTGTGACACTCAGGTTCCAGCCTGCCTCTTCCCCCTTCCCCCCCTCCAATGGAGAACAGAAGATTTAGGCCCCAGCAAAATGAGTAATGGAGCGTTCCTTGAGTCCAGTTTAACCACAGTCCGTATACATATCGCATAATGACCATCAAGTTCAGACTATCACAAGCTTTCACAAAAGCCCTTACTCAATATACTCCCATAGTACAACAATACACCGTGCAATCAGTTGGTTCAGCAGCTCCTTTTTGGGGCTTAACCTGTTCTTCCCCTTGGGGTGTCCGGACCCAGTATCACAGATCTACAGCCACAAAGAGCCCTAGCTCTAGGTATTGTTATGTTGTGGATCCCTAGCGAAATGGAGCCTTGATTGGGGGCCACTAGGTTTTGAACCACTCTGAGATTTGTACTTAAAAAGCTTGTCAACCATTTATTTCCCAACAACAATATAATAAGCACAAGGGCCTGCCAGTGTCCAGGGGGGCCTGGAGCAAGCAGAGCATTGTGATTTTGGTGTCAGCGAGGATGAACGTATGAGAGATTGTCTAGTACATTGGGGGAAATTAGAGTTAACGCCTGAGCTAACTGTGGGCCTGGGGGTACAACCTGCCCAGAGGTGTGAGGTAGCACAAATGCAAGTGACCCACAACGGGAGAAGTGAAAGGAAGAGCAAGAAGAAGCAAAGAAAATGCTGGAGAGGAAGGGAAGAAACGTCATTTAGAGAACCGACCACTAAAGGAAACGGAGATCCCTGGGGCAGGTGTCGCTGGGGAGACGCAGGCCAAATGAGGTCTGCCCAGCTAAATGAAAGGACACTGGCCTGTCCCTCAAGTGCAGAGATCAGGGAGACTGGCATGAGGGGGATGCCCATTTCTTGGGGTCAGTGCCCCAAACCGGCATTCAGGAGCGGGCGTGGGCTGTTCATCTCCAGGGGCAGGAGTCTGCCATGCTGCTCTCTTATGTTGAAATTATTGGGGTAACTTCGGCAGCGAGGTCCTAGAAATATCCGTGGGGGATTAAACGGCAAATGTGGTTTCCGCAAAAAACGACGTTTTCCACAGGAAACATATTGATTTTGTCTGAACTATTTGGTGCGCGGGCAAATCCAAATGGAATGTTTCACCCTTCATCTGTGTCCAGCTGGGCTAGTGCAGAACCTCACACCCCTGTTCCCCTCCAGCCTACATCTCCCATGATGCACAGCAGCCGTTCATCCCGAGGGGAGTCCCCACAAAGTACCACGGCTGCAATGAAGCAGCAAGGATGGGACAGGATATTCCTTCTGCCAGGGGAGATTTAACTGATACACCATATTTTCCTCATGTGCTCTAGCAGGTGGATCCTGCCGAGTTTGGCTACACCCTGACAGCACTGTCACCGACTCACTGACTTTGGGCAAGTCACTGCCTCACTCTGTGCCTCAGTTTCCCCCTCTGTATAACGATTCCCAGTGAATTCCCAGAGATCGCTGTGGTAAGGTTCAGTTGAGGTCGGATTTCTTTGCTCCTTGGTAAGTAAAGTTGCTACAGAAATGCAAAATGTTGTTTTTATTTCCAGTGTGGGCTTAGATTGCACCCATTTTTATTTTCTCTCCTGCCCCTAATTTGTTCTCTGGGGACCTAATCAATAACCAACATACGATGGTCTCACCCTTTACATTTCCTGTTCCACCCACCCTCCCCATCTACAAATCACCCAGAATTAGCAGGAGAGGCTGTTTTATGCTGAGCCACTTCCTGTCCCATCATTTCCTTTCTCAGAGACCATTTTGTCTTTTGAGGGAGTTGGGTTTTTTTTTTTAAATCATGGAAAGAGCATTTTCACGAGTGACACCGGTAGCAAATCCAGCAGGGGTCATCTTTAGGGTCAGGGATTATCAGCAGTCAGAACCGATGTCTCACACTTGAGCTAAAGGAGTCATTAGCTGGTAGCAATAGTAGATTGTTACCCCACCAGCACCAGAGTGTGAGGGCACGGACACACACACACACACACACACACACACATCAGGTGTGTTAAACACATTCCTATTTATAAGTTGGACCTTTTGAACTGGTAATCTAGCAAACAGAGTGTGCTCTACTCACTGGGGGAAGTATTGCCTAGTGGCTAGAGCACTGGACTGGGATTCAGGAGACCTGGCTTCTATTCCTGGCTGTCCTGCTAGGTGAAGTCACTTCCCGTCTCTGTGCCTCAGTTTCTCCCACTGTGAAATGGGGACAACGGTACCAACCACATTTAAAAAGCACATTGAGATCCATGGGTGAGAAGAGCTAGGGGTGATTGTCTTTATTTTTGCTTCTTGATTGGATCAAGCAAAACACCCTAGATGTGACCGCTGCTGACTCGGGGGGAAGTTCAGCTCCTTTCACCACTTTATGGTCTCTTGATTCGCTGTATGTGCTTCACCGTTGCTGCTGTGTTGTAAGCTGCTGCGTGATGATGAGACAGTGTTTTTTGCTGTTTCAACTCAGCCAGACCATCTTCTCCCTTACACAGAACTACCATAAAAAGGCATTACTAAGGAGGAGCAGGGGTCACCACAAACACCGTGTGACTTCCCATAGATACGTAATGGATGACATGAGGATTAATAAATACACCACTCTTTACACCAGCATTGAAAGCACTGAAACACCTTTAAAAAGTTGGGGACTTTCAACTCCCCCCTGCTGCCGCTGCCACCACCATATTGCCAACCCTGTGCCTCCCAAAATCACGAAGGAGGTCCCTCCCACATGAGATTGTCTTTTTTAAAATATTAATTTGGGGTTCTTTTTTATGTGCCTGCTGGGTTTTGAACATGTACGGATCATGGTTTCAAGCTTTTCTCCATAACCACAACAGCTCGAAACTTAGCTTTCATTTTTTTTTTTTAAAAAGTGAGATTCTCACATAATCACAGGGCTCCAGCAGCTGGGGATTTTTAGAAAAACACCAAGACTCACAACAAACTCACAAGAGTTGACAATAACAGAATCTCTATTTCGGAGTAAGTAGAGCAAAACCTCTGTCTGATTCCCCTGGTCACTTCTGTAATGCTGTACGCAGGAGGAAAAAACAACCCTTTCTGATCAGAAATGTGGGTTTGGATGGCCCTAATTTCAGTGCGTGCAGGAACAAATGTTGTCAATGATAAAAAAAATGACGAGCTTCTAAATCCTTGGAGACTCAAAGACTCTGGAATCTTTCTCTGGAGCTTTTTAGTCTGTGGGCTGGGGTTAGTTTCCGCCCTTTGATGCATGGGCACGGTTCTAACTGACTTCCGTGAACAAAGACTAGGCAGGGTAAGGAAATGTCTGTTCCAGCACCCCAGCTAACTACAGTTAATGAGTTCTAACAATCTCTCTGAAGCTTTGATGCAGAGACTCATGTGAGCCCCTTGGCTTTGGTCTCTGTGATGAAAATAACGGGCTTTCATTTAAAAAACAAAAACAAAAAATAAGTTTCTAAGCCTGAAAACTGATGTGATGAGCCTGAAAACTGTAACTTGGAAGGAACAAGGCAGCTGTGCTCCACTTAGTAAAGAAATGTCGGCAAAACACTAGATCAGAATTTCAAATTTTGATGGGAAGTTTTTGAAAAGTCCCAACTAATTTTTCCTTCCCTCTGATTGTCAACATCTTAGTCACTTCTACAGCCAGAAGCTAAAGGGAACCAACAATATCCTTTCCCCCACCTCCAGCCCTCCAAGATAAAACTTATCTCGCACAAGGCAGGGGAGTTTGAGAAAGAATCAAATCACTACACGCGTGCACACACTGCCCAAATCTGCAACCCGGATCCAAAACGGGTGGAGGGATTTTGGAGCGACAGCTCCGCAAAAGAACTTACATTAGAACGGCACCTGCCCACTGCGAAGGATCAGCCTTAAAGAGAAGTGCCAGGATGGCTGGAAGAGGAATGTGAAGCAAGCGCCTTTTTCAAGAGAAAAGGCAAAAAATGTGTCTTACCTTGTAAGCTGCTGAGCACCACGAGGCACGCAAAGGTTTGAACAGCTGCCGCCATCTTCCCCAGCATCGCGGCAATTGAAATCCTCTAATCAAGTTACGTTGTCAAAGGACCTGATTCTCACTTACACCAGCCGTGTAAAAGGGCCTTTATATGGGACCAAATTACAGTACACCTGCATTAAAGCCCTGTTACACTGGGATAAAAAGGGCTTGGTGTACATGAGACACAGGCCAATTGGTTTTAAAACAATTACTTTACCGAGGACGCGCAGTCAGACTGGTATGGCCGTCTTCAGTGAATCTACGAACACTTCCTTTTTTTTGTTTTTGCAGCATGTGACCAGCCAACCACAGGAACATGAGCTAACAGCAGCTTTTTTGAAATGGAGAGCTCATTAATATACTAACCCATAGGAGGACACCCCAACATTAGTAGGGTGAGGAAATACAAACAAGGAAGAGGGGAGAAACCTCTATTGAATAGGCATTAGGCAGAGTGGCATCAGCATAACGTATTATAAAAGTTGTATCCCAGCCTGTGGGCAGGAGGAGAGAGCTGTAGCCCTGGGGAGGTGCTTGGCTGATGGCCACTGGTGTTGAGAGGGAAGGTGAGGAGGAAGACAAAGGCTAAGATTTCAGATTGGTCTGCAAGGGATGGTGCTAGTATATGGATGTTCGATGGACATTCTGTATTGTCTCTACCTACCTTGCAGGATTCGAGTGTTTGTGACTTTGCTAAATGTATCCATGAGTTATCACAAATACCGAAGGGTTCCTAAAGTGTGAGCGTCACAACTGTGCACAGCGGGGTTCCCAAGGGAACAGTAATTTTAATAAAACTGGGCCTGATTTGGGGCCTGTCAAC